TGGAGTCCCAGGGGAACCAGGACCAGAGGGTTCTGGGTTGGAGTCCCGGGGGAACCAGGACCTTTCTGGGTGGAGTCTGCATGTTCTCCTGTGTCTGTGGGTTCTCTCCGGGTTCTCCGGCTTCCTCCCACCCTCCAAAAACCTGCACGTTAGGTTGGTTGGACTCCAAACTGCCCTTAGTGTGAGTGTGTGTTTGGTTGTTTGTCTTGTGTCTGGCCATGCGATGGACTGGCGGACTGTCCAGGGTGACCCCGCCTCTCGTCCGTGGACCACAGGGATAGGCTCCAGTTCTCCCCGCGACCCCATCAGGGAATAAGCAGTAACGATGATGAATGGATGGGAAGTCCCCAAGTTTACCTTAGTTGATTTACAACTCTGTTTATCTCAACAAACGTTGAATGAATTCTAACCCAGTCATAATTCCAATGCCATATTCGGGCAATTCACACCGTTTATTGAAAGGAAACAAACCAACTGAGTTGAAACCCCTCTTCAGTTCAGTCCCCCAGCCTGAGCATGCACAGGGTGACTGTGAGAAGAAAAAGTCCCCTCTGAATGGGAAGAAAACTGGCTCTGAAGCAGACTCAGTGTGGGTGGCCATCTGCTCTGACCAGCTGGGGATTGGAAAGGACCGGAAAAAGCACAGAAAACACCAGGACAGGGATACCAGCTAAGAGATAGAAACAACAGTGGCAACATGATGTCACATGTACATGGGAGATCCGCCGACTGTCGACGCCTGGAACAGCGTAACTATGGGATGCTCCAGTCACTCACTCATTACGGCCTTTGTGATGGTTCATTTATGCCGGTGTTGCGTTGAGACACTGGAGCTGCTTTCCATCACTGCTACTCCTAACCTTCAGTTCCTTCCAAGATGGGGTCTTAACGTTAAATGAGTCTGGGTCTGTGCTGAGCTGATCTTCAGCCAGCAGCAGGTGAGGCCCTCAGCTCACGGCTGTGCTCCATTAGGCTGATCAGTCCGGAGCCAGCCTCCTCCTCGCGCCGCAGGCCCACTTCCTCCTTCGAGGGCCTCCGCAGAGGCCTCCATCTCCACGGCGACAGCCTCTTCCCGCCGTGTCCCGGCTCAGAGAGCTCCTGAAGTGTCCATCTCAATCTCATTTCCTCTGACGCATTTTCTGAGCCGTGCAGATTCAAGAACGTGCGTGATGCATTTCAGAAAAAAAACTTTCTGAAATCCAAAGGCTCCCCGAGGCAGCGATTTATTTTCATTTTTTATTTGATTTTATTTATTTCTTTTAAGGCTTGCATAACCGTCCTCGACTAACCTCTTCTGCACGTCTTTTGTGAGGCGGCGGTGGAGAAAAGCCAGTCTTCCTGTTTGCGGATACTCTCTTAAGAATAGTGCCTCCGAAAATCACTTTATCTTCCCCTGGTGTAGGAGGAGCAGGTAGAGGCAGAGCGAGGAGGGTGAATTCGTGCTGAGATTGTTTTCCTCATAATGTCCTCTCATTAGCACATTTGGCTTTTGAGCTAACTAACCAATCAGGTAAGTGTTGCTTTGAGCTGGCTGTTAGGTTGATTTTACGCTTCTGATTCAGAGAGCACGACACCTTTTAGTCTTTATTTGATATGTTGTGGTACGATTTACCAAAAACCTTGGCAGCAACTACAAAATGGACCGGATTTGTTTACTTCACTGCTGTGAGCAGTTTTCACCAGCCCACGTTAAACGGCATTATCAAGGCTCTGCTTTTCATTCAGCAGAGCTGAGAAACAATCACAGCTGACCGGCTTTCTCTGCAGTTTCCCCGGCCTTACCTTTACGGCAGCGGATCCTTTCCTGTAGTTATCATTTTGTGCCCTGACGTTTCCCCCAACGGCTCAACCAGTGCTCCTACTCGATTTTAGAACAGAAATTCATCTACTGAGGCAGAAATTCTGCCTTAGATGATTTAAAGCCTTTTTTTTTCTTTTTGAAAAATGGGAATTGTTCAAAAGCCCAGGCCACAAGAAATACACATGAATAGGTCAGAATTGGAATACTGGATTTTGGTCACTAGATTAAGGATTTGCTTGAAAAATAGATTCTCGATTCAAACTTGAAGCGACCCAGCAGCTCAAGGCCAGTTTTTATTTATGCAAAGAAAGTAACCACTGTTGGATTTTAATGAGTTCATAAAGCCAGACCGTCATCCAGTTTACACATTTTGTCCATATGCAGTAGTCCCCGAAACCATAATCATACACTCAGTATTCAAGGCAGCTTCGGATCGGCATTTGATGGTTTCTTCTTCATTAAAACCAAGTCCATCAATGGGAAACAGAGCAGAGGCGACTGCATCTGAGCATCCAGTTTTGTTTTGCTATTACTTTAGAGCTAAACCGTCTCGACCTATGGAAAGGCCTGTTTTTAAATTGCACCCCGGCTTAAACCGAGCCATTCCGGCTCCAGAACACATTCAGCACAGAGTCAAATGTAAGAACAGGAGCTCAATCAAAGCTCTGCGTAATAGCCTCCGATTTTCTTGAAGTTGGCATCGGCTGAGCTGGAGCTGGTTGCTCAGGGCAGCAGCCGCTCGCTCACAGTGCCAGCTCCTCCTAATTGCCGGCTTTCATTTGAAAGTAATGGACCCTCGGCCACTTTTGCAGCAGATGAATCTCCGTACGCCTCTCCAACCCCTCGGGCTGAATTTAAATCATGGGTTTGACTGTAATAAATGAAAAAGTCAGGGTGTTTTTGTTTTTACCTCTGCTTAAAACGCGGGGCTGAAGTGTTTGGTCCTGTTTAAGAGCGTGGCTTCACGTCAGCCCAGGAGCTAAAACATCCTGACCGCTCACAGATGGGCTGAATCACGGCGTTTGTCACATGTCTGCTCCCATGTGAGGACGCAGCAGAACGGCTGATTCTGGCTGGCAGCCCGCCAGAGGCTTCTGGAGTTAGCGTTCAGGAGCCACGGCACGACCCGTTTTGACACGAGTCTGTGGACCTGAGTCTTTTTTGTGTTTTTTGTAAACAGCCTCAACTTAAGGGGGGATTCAGATCAGGAGCGGGGGAGCACTTACTCAGGAACAAACCACCCCAATTTCTTTTTTTACCTCCCCCCCTCACATCTTCAAACGGACTCTCAGTCACAGGGAAACCGACGGAAAGTTCCAACCGGTGCCGAGCACAATGGTTTGCTAACTCAGAGGTTTAGTTAAGAATAGCTGCTCTGCCCTGGAACCACTGGCAGGCGCAGCCCGCAGCGGAGACATGAAAGGCCTGCCTCTAAAGCAGCTCTGGGGGGGCCCCGCCGCGCTTTGAAACGCTTCCCGCCGAGCTCTTTGCTCCGTCTTTGATTACAGCCGAGGCAAAGAACGCAGTAAGAAAGGAGCACAGCCGTTTGTTCATATTTTTGGTAGTTCCAGTGTCATAATTGTAATTTTTGATTAGATTTTTTAAAGAGAATAGTGATACCACGCAGCCAGGACATCGGGGCCCACACATCATTCTATTTCACTGATGGCCCTTTTCTTCTGGTAGCTACCCAGCTTGTTGGTTTTTTGTTTTTGCATTTCCATTAGGGGCCGGTTACCCACTCAGCAAGGGTTCTAAACCAGCGTATGACAGACTGCAGAGCTCTGATTGGTCAGGAATGAGTCCTGAAAGCGACTCTCTCACTTGTGTGTTTTTTTTTTAAACGCAGCAGCAGGAGCCATGCGCGTGTTCGGATGGCTTATGGTCATCAACATGGCGGACGAAGCACGCCCCCCCCCCCCCCATTAATCACAAGCTAACCGCCGAGTAGCACCGGAATCATTTTGAGGGCAGAATTAAGAGGTCACATCAGCAACCTGCTGGCTCTCAAAGTGGGGATAAGTGACGGTTAAGGAAAGAAAAACAGGCGGCGGTGATGGTTTGCAAAACAAGCCGGAAAGGAAACCTACCCTGCCTCTGGTTTCTCAGTGAAGGTCTCTGGAGATGAGGAGAATGCAGTGTGCCTGTTATGTCTTAACTGCTTTTTTTCAAGCACAGGCTGATGAAGCGATGCAGCGGCAAATGTCACAACGTTTAGTTTTTTCTGGAGTGGAAGTTGCTTTCCTCACTCTCTTTGGAACAGAAAAAGTTGGCAAAGACATTAGTGCTAACTTCCGGTTGAACCTTTCCTGACACTTACGTTACGGCGAGGCACGGAAATAGTCCTTCCTGCTGAGTGGAGAGTGACGGAAAACGTTTGAGAGCCACCGGCTTACACAAACAAACAACCATGGCGGCGCATTGCCGGTATGTCCTCCACTTTGTGTCGTTTTCTGTCGCACATAAATGGCATCGCAGGTCTTCAGGGCGCTCTTGCTGTTGAGCAGGCGGCAAACAGCCCGAGAACGGAGCGTTCACACTTTGAGTACTCTTACTGTCTAACCCCCCAGGGAGCCTCCTCCTGCCTTATCCCACCCCCCCAGAGGGATAGGCTCCTCATAAGTCACTCTACGCCTTTTCATTGACTTCAAAGTTGTCGATGGCCTAACTTGTGACCTAATTGGTCAACAACTATTGGCTTTGTTAACGATCACCGCTGAGTGAATGGAGTGTTTGCTCACAGGGCGGATGGCCTCCGAGCTGTGAAGCATTCCCTCATTACAGCAACTTGAGGTAATGCTTTAAGAGAACAAATCAACTATCCTTTCACCCATGTGAAGTAGGTGAAGAAAAAGGTGGGAAAAAGTCCCAAAAAGCAGATTTTTGATTAAATTCAAATTCAATTAGAAAATACTTAATTTATCCCAAAGGGAAATTAAATGTCGGTGTAACTCGTTCAGCTAATGAGTTCTTATAGACTGATGGCTGTGGGCAGGATCTTTTGTAGGGGTCCATTTTACAACTAATCAGAAGAAGCCTCTGACTGAAGAGACTCTGTTTTCCAATTGCAGTCTCATGAAGACGAAAATATCCAACACGGCAACTTTAAATCTCTTTCAGTTTCTCAAACAATTGGATTTCAGTTAATTTCTGTTGCCTTATTTTGGCTCTCTTTTGGCTGTTTTTCTTTTAACGAGTGCAGATTATAAAGTATAGGTGTATCTGGCACGCTGCATTCTTTGCATAATTTAAAACTTCATTTTCTTGGGTTGTGATTCGTTGTCCTGCTGTAGAATAAATCTGGGAGATGTCAGAGCCTTTTGGGGAAACTGACGGATACGAAACTTAATCGCTAAATCAGGTTCTCCCACTGTTGTTTGTATTGTAGAGATTACCTAACAGGGGGTCAGCAAATTGACAAACAAAGGATTATTAAACTTGATCTTTGTTAATGTGTGTATCCCCAAAAGTGAACATTATATTATTCTTTTTTTTTTTACCTATGTGATACTTTAGGTTTATGTAAGATTCTAGATTATAACCACTTTTTAGTTAATGCCCTTTTTAAAAACAATGTCTGTTGGTCACTGCAGCTATCCTGTTTTTTTACACACTGCAATACACAGCACAGTGAGTTTTTAATGTAGCAAATGGGGAGGGGAATCTAATATTGATAGATTTACTTTAATCTTACAACATATTTCAAGAATCAGACAATCGGTAACGTCGTCAGTGATTGCCGTTCTAAGATTACAGGATAGCGCACAACCTTATGATTTTACTGGAGAAAGTCACTTTAACAACATAGATACGTCATTTGCATATATATCCTGAATTAAACAAATTGGCCAATATATTTAGCCTCTTTTTTAAAGAGACATTGTGTAGATTTTTAAGTATTTTATTAACTAATGTTGTTTTCTTTATTTATAAATGTGTCCTCATTTGGTGTAAAATGACTTCTACAATGATATGACTTCTCATAATCAAATTATTTCTTATCTGTATACACATAGGAAGGGTAAGTACACGGTGGTTTCCATGGCAATCTGCCATTTAGAAAAATTATAATCGCAGAGAGGGACATAAAGCACTAGTCTGCTTGTCTTGCTAATCCACAAGGCGTTTTCCCTTGTCAGAGTCACCTGACTGAAATATCTTTTAAATTAATAGATTTTTTAAATCAATCAAATTAATTCATTTAAATTATTATTATTTTTATTACAAACCTCATCACCAGAGAAAACTCGATGATGGCTAGCGTAGCTGCACCACCCATTTGAAAACGGAGGCACTACAGG